GGGCCTCCTGTTCATAGGCAGCCATTGCTGGATTAGCTGGGCCACAACCTATAAGTTATTCTAATAAATATAGAGAGATTCATTTTTGTAAGTTCTGTTACTCTTGAGAACCCTGACTAATATACCTGTGTTCCTTACCTTTATGTCAACATGACACAATTAGAACCATCTGGGAACAGGGAACCTCAACTGAGAAGATGCCTTCATCAGATTAGCACATAGGCACATCCATAAGGCATTTTTTTTTTTTAAATTAATGATTGATGTAGAAGGGTCCAGCCCCTTGGCAGTTGTGCCACCCCTGGGCAGGTGGTCTTTGGTTGTACAAGAAAAGAAATTGAGCAAGCACCATTCCTCCATGCCCTCTGCTTTAGTTCCTTCCTCAAGTTCCTGCCTTGAGTTTCTGCTCTGACTTCTCTTCAGTGAAGAACCATGATCTGGCTATGTAAGCCAAATAAACCCTTTCCTCCTAAAGTTCCTTTGGTCACATGTTTATCACGGGCGACAAAAGCCAACTAGGACAGACCCCTCCCTATGCCTCTGCATCCCTCTCCATTTTCCAGGTTTGACCTCTCAAGCCTCTTTAACCCTTTGTAGTCATTCTGTAACCTTTGTATGTACAATAGACACATTTATTGTTGTGTAATATGTGATCAAAGAGTTAATATCCCTTTAATCCCAGCACTCAGGAGGCAGAAGCAGGTGGATCTCTGTGAGTTCAAGGCCAACCTGGTCTCCAAAGCGAGTTCCAGGAAAGGTGCAAAGCTACAAAGAGAAACATGGTCTCGAAAACAACAAAACAAAACAAAACAAAACAAAACCGAGTTAATATCAGTAATTAAGACTGGAATATTTGAACAGGCGTTTGCCTTTGCCAGGGCTAGGAAGGAAAATGGGACCATATGGCAAATTGCTGCCAATGAAAACACTGTACCTTGTGAATTTATTATTCAATAAATTATAACATTGTAGAAAGACATATACATGTTTGTCTCCTTCTGACAAAGCACACTCATAACAGCTACACAGCAATACCCTCTTGAAATAAAAATAAAAGCAAAAACAATAACAAGCAAGCAAACAAGACCCCACAAAATCAAAACAAGAGGAAGTCTACGTGAGTGTCTGAGGGTATGCCACATCCAAACCATCACAGGTCCTTGCTTGGCTCCCCAGTGATTAGAGACTTCCTCAAGTCCTTCCTGTGTTTAGAGTTAGGACAGTGTGTGCATGCTGGGCTTGTCTTCAACTTTCAGGCAGGCATTGGCAACATCCTTAAGCATCACATCCTGCTTGCTCTAAGTCTCAAGATTTGCTTGAAGGTGGACAACTGGGGGGCTGTTTCAAGTCTTTCCTGGGCATTAGCTTAGCTGCATTCATGGGAAAATCCTTTTAGAATTTCAGAAATATTTATCTTTTCAACTTCTTCCTCCATGGACATCTCATTCCCCATGTATTTTCTTTTAAGATTTTTATTACTTTTATTTTTTTTTATGTGTATGGATGTTTTGCCTGCATGTATGTCTGCATGCCACATGCATGCCTGATGACTGTGGAGGCCAGAAGAGGTCATTGACTCCCCGGGAATTTGAGTTACAAATGGTTGTGCCCTGTCACGTAGGAGTTGGGAATTGAACCTTGGTCCTCTGGAAGAGCAGCCCGTGTTCTTAATTGCTGAGCCATCTCTCCACCCCCTTCCTTTAAAGTTTTAAAAATGACTATAACTTTTTTAGACTTTCATACATGCATATAATGTTTCGATCAACCCACCCTCAGTTTCCATCCCCTCCAGTTCCTTCATGGTCCCTTCCCACCACTACCATTTTCTATTCCTTTTAAAATTTTAGGTAAGCCTTTGTTTACTCCAACCAGCTCAGGCAGCTGCAATGTTAAACACTTGTGGCTGCTGTTTTGTTTTGTTTTTTAAATCTGGCAAATGGCTCCATTGCCTATAAGAAAGTTCTTGGTCACGTTATTTAAAGACCAGCCCGATCAGGATGCTATCAGACAAGTCAAATAATGCTAAGTCTTGGGGAACAGGACTTTTTGAGGTGCTCAAGTCCTTTTGGTCCTTTTGGTGGACACTAGAGAGACTTTCTACAGCTCTCAGGGCTTCAGAACTATGGTGCTCCAGTTTATGTATATTTCCTTACAAAACTACTCATACATGTAAACATCATATCTAATGATCTGAGAGAAAGTCTCATGTAGGATGGCTCTAGTCCCAATGATAATGCTGCCCAGCCCTTAGTTCTTATATTCGCTCTTTATCATACATAGATGGTTTAAGTTGGTATGCTCTTCAGCACCCCCACAGGGCTTGTTAAAAACCTGGTTTGAGGTGGGGCTTGGGAATTTACATTTCCAGCATTTTTGTTTGTTTTTTATTTTTAAAATAGTCTGTGTGTGCATGCCACAGTGCATCCATGTGCGGGTAGTGGAACTCAGAGGACAGTTTGTGGAAACTGGTTCTCTTTTCTCACCATGTGCAGCATGGGTTTGAACTCACGTCTTCAGGCTTGATGGTACGCACCTTTATCTGCTAAGCTGTCTCGTTGGGTCCTTAGTAAACTTTTGAGTGAAAAATTGAAGCTGTGTCTGGAGTTATGAGGATCAGAGCCTGAGTAGCCCTGGTAGGCTAGAATCAGCTGCAAGTCCTCAATAGGCCAGTTCAACAAACAATAGTGAAGAAAAAAAGAAAGAAAGAAAGAAAATGTATCTAGTGGAACTAGTGGAACTACACTGGGAGAAGGACAGAAAGATCTAACGGCACCCTCTCCCACCATTCCAACCCCCCC